ATTTTGTTTCTACAATGTTTTCAGAGCTTTGTGAAAGTAATTAATTTTTGAATAATAAATATTCATTTTTGTATCGGCAGACATCAGCCGCATTTTGTTTTGTTTTTTTGTTTTGGGCTGCAGGGGCCACAATTACCTCGAGCCACGGTCCGCGGTACGCCCTGACCGACAAGCCGCGCCGCGCCGCAGCCAGGTTCTCGCCGGCCACGCAGATGGGGACGAAGACGGCCAGGATCACCGGGGCCATGAGGAGCGCAAACACGTCGGCCTTTGTCCCGCGAGCGAACACCTGTTGGACATGGACATGGGGCACGGACATGGACACGTTAGGGCTGTGCGATGGGTACTTCACTATACACTCAGGCGTACGCCAATTTTTCTGTGTTTTTTTCTTCTTCATTTTTTCTGATTTGTTGTCTTTGTTTTTGTTTTTTTCGTGGGAGGGGGGCGAGTGTAGGGTGCACACACATGTACACATTGATTTTCTCATACCTCTACGGTGCTCAGCAGTGGCAGCACGACGCTGACGACGAGCAGGTGCGGCATCATGTCGGCGAACGCGTTGTCCATGCGGAGAAGCACGTCGAGCACGCCCCGCAGCAGCGTGGGCCAACTCCGCGAGCAGCGCTCGACCTGCTCAGAGAGAACGCATCGAGACCATAGCAAACAAGACCGCGTCTGTGGAGCCCGCAGCGGCAATAACCCAAGAGTGTGAACGACGCACAATACTTGTCGCTGGGTGAACGCTATTCGTACAAAGGCACAAGTGTGTTAATTTCAAAGTAAAATTCCGTTCAGTGAACGGATGCTTGGGCATTCACACACACTTGCGTTTCCAGTGCAATACCTCGATGCCGCGGCCGACGGCCTCGCACAAGTCGGCGCAGGCGGCGTAAATGAAGAGCATGCACAGGATGAGGCAATAGAACGAGTTGATGCACACGAAGGCCATGCCAGACTGCACGGGCAGCCACGCCAGGCGCAGGGTCCACTCCAGCCCGAGGGTGGCGTCGTCGTCCTAAGATGGCTCGGTTATACAAACACAACACAAGAGTTCTTTAGTTTTTCGCACATTCAGGCAAAAGCAATAAATTTTTAAAAAAATAGTCCAACATTATCTTATTTTCATTTTTGTGCACACCTTTCAGCAAATGCTTGTGCACCCTACAGCGTCGAGGTGCACCTGGGGCTGCCAGTCACTCACCGAGTTCGCGACGAGCCGCGTCGCGGCGCCGGCGATCTCTTTGATCCACAACGGCTTCACGCAGACGAACATGATCGAGACGAGCAGCAGGGAGGTGCAGCCGTAGACGTAGAAGAAGCGGACGAGCCGCGCGCTGAGAACAGCCGAGCCGCGCATGCGACCCTGGCGGCCGCGCGAGCATATTGACGCTGATAAACCGAGTGAGCAAATACTGGTGGGTGTGCAAGTCCAAACTCAAACTGTGCACTTACAAGTGCATAAATACCAAGTTGAACATTTTCAAGTGCACAACTTGGAGTTGCACACTTACAAGTGTTGGCCGGTTGCACAGTTGGCTTATTATCGTGGTTTTCACGTGCATCGCACATCAAAAGCTTTTTAAGTACGAGAACTCGTGAACTATTCCCCTTTCTTTCCCCAACTTTTCTCAGCAAATTATAGCTGAAAAACAGTACAAATTTCCCACCAGCGCCTCTCCCGGTAGAGTGGGTCGGCAATTCTCTGTACCCCATGCATGGATGACGACTAGGTTGCCTATTTGCACGGCGCAAGGCAGACGAACGAAAGGTTTCTGCAGTAACAGTGTAACTACAAGTAAATACCCCAAGGAATAACCACGCTGATAGGCAGTGCATACGACTGCAATGCAAAGTTCTCGTTCTGGCAATGAGTAACATTTGGAAACCGTTATTGTGGTCATTGTGATTAGACGCACCTGCGAGTCCCGGTCCGCGCGCGGCTCGAGGTCGGCGGCGAGTCGGCCCAGGTTGTGAAGGATGTCGCAGAGGTCCGCTTGTCGACGCATGAACACCAGCTGGGAAAAGACGCACGAGTACACACCGATGGTCATGCGGATGGCGAACATGGTCCTGGAGCCGAACGACTTGGACAAGACGGCGTCCACCAGGAACAGCCCCGTCCCCGCTACGGTCACAACCAGCGAACTCTGAGGACATGACTACATCTTTAGACTGACTGAGCCACTGAGCACAGGCAAAGTTTTATTTTTGAAGCATATGCAATTGTGGGCTGTTCGGGCTCAAAAGATTCTAGGAACATCCTTCAAGATGCACTTTATGAGTGCTGTTCGGTACGACATTCGTCGTCAATAAGCTCTGCAAACCGTCGTTGAAGTGACCCAGCTATTCTGAACGCGTGCCGAACAGAAACGTTGGGTTTCCAAACAAACCTCACTGATTCCGGAGGGGAACCAGCACCGATTCTCACAGTTATTTGGAGGCTCACCGGGGTGCCGCGGCCCCACGCGAGGGCGCGCTGGTGTAGGCCCGCGTGGTGGTCGCCGAGGAGCCGCAGCCACCACTGCAGCTGGCCGGCGAGGGGCCACGGGTCGGGGGTCTCGACCGCCATGGCGGCGGGACACGGCCACGCCCGGGAAAAGGTGGCGGGAAATACTGAAGGCGCTGTGTGCAAAACAAACAAACAAACAAACAAACAAACAAACAAACAAACAAACAACAAACAAACAAACAAAATCCTTTCCGATCAAAACCGTTTGTTTTATTATTGTGGGCTTCGTTTTTGTTGCGTTGTCCCGGGTCGCGTTGACTCCGCCTCCACTTACTCGCCCTGGAGGTGCAGACGCACTGCGGCCCATCCGCACGCGTCCTCGCGCCCGTGCCCTCGCCTGCCCCATTGACTTGATTGTCAGATCGGCGCAATTAGCTCACCAGGTGGTGTGGGTCGCACACGCCCGCCGACGTCATGAGGAGGAGCGGTGGAAGAGGAGAAGCGCCAGCAACGTGGACAGTCCACCATTGTAGAGCGCAATACCGCGCAATACACTATTTATTTTTCAACAACGCATCTCGACCTCGACCTTCCCATGATCGACTTTTAACACGGCCTCCCCCCTTTTCAGCAGATGATACGCAGTTGTCGTCAGCTTGCACTCTCGTAAAGTTCGCCAGTTAAAGCGCAAAGTTCGTCAGTTAGACAAGCAAATAATTGTGGGCTCCTTTCAGCTGCAAATTCCCCCCTCCTGTCCCGTAGTGCTGTTCACACTGAGCAGCTCCCGCGCAGCCTCACGCTCTGGTCGCCGTTTAACGACCCGCCATAAATGCGCTGCTATGCCACGACGTGCACCCAGCCCTCCGCCGCGCTGACAGCCGCGTTCAACGCCGCGTTCAGCGCCGCGTTCAACGCCTCGTTTAACGCCGCGTTTGACGCCGCGTTCAAAGCCTCGTTCAAAAGCATCGTTAAACGGCGCGCCACTCCGGGCGCAACGTCGCATTGCTGTCACATGTTTTTAGTTGGTGGTTCTGAGTCTTACGAAAGCGAGGATTTGGAGTAAAAACTCAACGCTATACTATAATTCATCTGCTTTCACGTTAGCGTTGGCGTTAACGTTTTTTTCCTCTTTCTGGGCGAAGGGCGAGAGGTATAAAATAAAATCCACAACCATGGCATCCTCAGAAGCGCTACTGCATTAAATGCGCTTCAATGCACATAAAAGGTGACACATTGGTGACGCATTAAATGCGCATCAAGAGTGTTCTAAATGCGCACTAAATGCATATTAAATGCTGTAATGCGCTTTAAAAGCGTCACCGATGCGTTACCTTTTATGTGCATTTCAATGCGCATGGAAGCGCATATTTAACGCGGTTGACGCTACTGGGGTGGGGAAGAAGGATGAGACTTGTCCGAGCGAAACTGCACCATGATGACGAGATACGTGACTGATAGGGAGACGATCTGTGTAGGACACGAAGAGCGCAACCATTAAGTTTTCGCTAAAATGTTATTGCATCAGGAGAAAGACTGACGGGACTGACGGTTAAAACCAAATACTCACGGAGGTGAAGAGAGGTCGGTCGACGCTGGTGAACCCGCTCAGTGACAAGTGAGCTGGCCGGGAACTCACGGACATGTAGAAGAACGTCACCTGCAACGGCAGTCGAAATAAGCACCCACTTAGTTAGAGTCAATGCACGCTCCAAGTCCAAGCAGTAAAGTTTTTGAATGATACGCCTTACCGCTCGGTGGAAATGCTCGTCATGCGCGTCCAGCGACAGCTTGTCCAGGGCAGAAACCACAGGACCGTGCATCTGTCGCATGCATACGAAAACCTCAAAAAACGTGTTAGTTGAAAATCGTATGAGTGGTTGTGGCGCTTTCTACGTACCGCAGTTACCGCCGCGTGGGCCAGATCACTCATCCAAAACAGCTCAAACCCCAGGAATAGCATCCAAAAGTATTGCGAGGCAGCCAACATCACGATCCTCAGAGACCTGAGAGGGGCGAGCAAACAAGGAAGACAACATCGAAACCATTTGCAGTACGAGCTGAAGGAAACACTCACAGTAGCGCGAAGCTCAAGTAGACGGCTAAAAGCATCATGATGAAGATATGCGATACGAAGAACACATCCAGAAGGTAGACGCTGGGGCGGTCGTTGAAGAGCGCGCGCAGGCTGACCCACAGCTTTTGGGCACGGCGCACCCCCACAGTGTCACCCGGGCGCAACTGGGTCCCGTTTAAAAATGAAAAGTTCCGTATCTTGTTCCCTTTTTGTTCCGAAACAGTCCGTCAAGCTTCGGACTGTTCCGCGGTTAGTCCGTGCACCGTTCGGACTAGCCCGGTTTCAGCCCTCCATCGGACCGACCAACATCGGGCTTGTCCGGACGGTGTTCCAGAATCCCTTCCTCGCCCGATTTTAGTCCGATGCGCATCGGACTAAACCCGATAACAGTCCCGGTACGGTCATAAGGTACGGACGAGTCCGAATTGCGTCCGCCAACAGACCCAGTTGGGCAGAGCTCCTCTTATTTGACTATCCCTAACGCGAACTTCGAAGCCTAATTTTGTTTAAGTCCCCTTTCAAAGTTAAATTTGGTCAATAACTTGTGATTGAAGACTGAATCTAGTATCGGTGTCTGCCTTTATATTTCTGTATCAGCTCACACCCTTCATTTATAATCAAAAATGAATGTTACAGTCATGCATTACATATGTAGTTTAAAGTTCACTTTATTATTTTTGTTGTAAGATAAATTTTGTTGTATTGTATCGCACTCAAGTAGACATCGTAGAGCGTCCCTTGCCTACATTATTGTCGAAAACCGCATTCGTATACGTCGTTTCGTTCGCCCACTACAGAGCACGACGCTTTGCCTATAGAGCGAGTAGTTGAAGAGGCGGCCCGATGGCATCGTGTCCAAGAAGTCAGCATGGCTCAGTTGGTTAGAGCGTCGGTTAGGAAAGGACAAGTCCGAAGAGCAGGGAATCGAATACTCGTCTTCTCTGCTTTTTCTCGGGCGTCCCTTTAGTGTGAGTCCGAAACGAGTCCGATGTCGCACCAGCCCAGAGCGTCGGACATGTTCCGAAAAGTGGCTTATTTTACGTCTTTTCGGGCTCGTCCGAAACACGGATTTCGGACTGAGTCCGATGAGGGACATATTCCGGAACTTCTCATTTCTAAACGGGGTCAGGTGAAGACCAACACGCTTAGGGTGAGGGAGTAGTCTTATAACTATTAAATTCATTCGGAAACCGAGCCACCCCTTCCCAAATTGAACGCGAGTTCTTCATATCCCAGCAGACCACTAACTTGGTTTAGGTGCTCGCTGAGAGCGGTGGCTGCCTCACGCAGCTGTAGGGAGTACGTGGTGTTGAGCATGAGGAGCAGCGTGGATATTACTGTGGACGAATACGCAGCGGGGAGGTAGAACCGCATATCTACCAACGTGCCGGCGAGGTCGTCCGACTTATACTCATTCTGCCAAAAGGATGATTCTTAAGATAAACCATGGTAACTTTGCATTTCTGTTGATCAACTGCATATGTATAAAGACCACGCTCAAGCAACTTTCTAACCAACCTGTATCTCTGAGAACAACATTGCAATGGTGACTCCCAGGCCAACGATCACGAATAAGACGAATATGAAACCGCGCAAGTTTCGAACTCGGGAAGCCCAGCGGTCCCGAAGATGTTGATTAGTAACAGATAAGAAGGATTCCTTTAAACAAAATCATTTTTTACATTTACATGTGAAATTAGATAGAAACTTTCTAGAAAAAGAACTTCTGCCTAACGGGCAGAGGCAGTATAGGCAACCAGCTCTCTTGACTTAACTAGCCGTGAGGCCACATGTGACCGGAGGTAAAATGTGTGATTTAAAAAAATGAAATATCTAAAATACGCGTACTACGCTACTACGCTACTATGGTAGTGTATACACTTTACGGAAAAATTCCATTTGTCATTCCATATTCATACCTCATATTCCGCAAAGTCCCACATCAATTTTCGCAAATTAGTTGTACACGTCCAGACCCAGGGGCCGATAGAACAAGGCAGCAGAGCTAGGATAGCCTCTAAAGAGAACAGCTTTGAATCCCAATTGCTGCTCGGATCAAGAACTTTTCCTAACTTTTGCACACACAAAAAAAAAAACATGTTGGGATTACGAAAGAAAGTAAGATGGGGGGACGCAAGTTTCTCTGAAAAGGCTTGTTTTCACAATGTACCTGATCTTTCCAGACGAAGGCGTAAGAGACGCAGAATGTGGAATACAACAGCACAGCATACACCAGGCTGGATCGACGCACGGAGAGAAGCGGCTTATCTGTTAGTTGAATAAAATTATTAACAGTATGCTCGGTTGCTTGAAGCAGTGAGAGAAGAATACCTCGAAAACTTACACAAGCAATTGAAAGATACGGGCACTAGGCCGATGAAAGCCATTCCCAGCACAACCACCGCCAGGGGACTTGTACGAACGAATGGCTGGAGTAAATCCTTCAGCAATAGAATCAGAAACGTGCGTAAGATTCTTACAACTTACAGTAACTAGCCCTTTCGAGGGGCAGCATGTATTTGAAGTTTCCCTTACCGTCCTTGTATCCTCTCCGTCCTGCTGCTTTTGTTGACCATTTCTTTTGGGTTTTGTGTCAACTGATTTTAAGGCCTTTCCGGTTTTACCAGCAATATAGACATCCTGACTTGCGTCTCTGAAGCGAATAACGCGGCCAGAAAACGCGACCATTGCCCAGCGCCCGCAAACACTGCAGAGTGTTCAGTTTGATTCAAGTAAGGCATCGTCGTAACTGAATAATTTAAAGTTCTATGCTGCATAGCCAACTAAATACAAAATTATTTAGAGTAAGTAACAAAATGTGGCTAGTCACAATATTAAGAACAAATCAGTTATGCACACACAACTTTACACAGTTTTACACAAGTTATGAAGTTTTAGGAACCAAATTGCGTCCGGTCGGCTCACAAAAACATTTACTTATAGGGAACATAATTGTCCCATTTCATGTGTACAGTACACTGTAATCCTAAGTATGTATAGTAAACTCTTCCTTGTGTATACTTGAAAGCACACCTTCTTTGTGTGTACAGGCGTGGCACACACTCTTAGTGTGTAGGCGCCAGAGAGCGTAGCGCTATCGCAAGCCCACGATTCCCAGAGTGTGCCACGCATGTACACATTTCATATTGTGTGCCATGCAAGGCACACACTACACACTTCCTTGTGTGTGCTTTCAAGTACACACAAGGAAGAGTGTACTATGTACATACTTAGGTTTACGGTGCACAGAATCGGTGCGGTGGTTTCACCAGCCACCCCTGGCGTGTGGGTTAAATTTACCGTGTGTCCAGGCCACGACACAATAAGTGTTGTGGGTTCGAATACCGCAGGGTTGGGCCATCATGGCGCACGAGGGTACAGACAGTAGGCAAACCCGCCTAGTGCTGTGTCGTAGCCCTGACCCACGGTAGTGCGCCAGTCCAAACCCCAAAACATGGCCAGCTTAAACGACGGCGACAAAAATAGAAAAAGAGAGAAAACACTAACACGTCCGTGTCGTTCATTTCCATCAGTAGCGGCTCTGGCTGCGGTCGCAACACTAAGGCGCCTTCATGAAAGGTGAAGAGGTCAAGGGCTATCGATTCTGTTCCGAGAAAGGTGGCGCCTCGGCCGCAATCACTGAGAGTGAAACTCCGAGACCAAGTTTGTACAAAAACGTACATTACATTGACGTTTAACGCTTGGTCACCGCGCTGCATGCGCCAACAGCCGTTATCATCACTGACTGTCGGAACGTTTCCACGGTCGTGATGCACGCAGGGCCTTCCGGAGGACGCAGTACGCGCCCGCGTCACGGTGGTCACGGTTTAGCACGTATAAGAGGGCGGCCGGCCCTCTCCTCGGCGCACAGTGTTCTGCATTGTCCCACCCGCCGACACAGCG